TTATTTAAGTACATTACTTTGGTGGTAACAATAAAATCACACATTTAAAAATAAAAAACGTTAAATCGTGTGTCCCACAATTATTGATGCTAATACTCCGTACAGTGACTCCATTCCTTCGTTTTTTCCCCCAAAAAAGACCAAATTTAGCTTATTTTTGTCTGAAAAATGGAGCGTTTCGGGGCAGATTTCGGGTCGTTTCCGTCTCCGGGGGCGACCAAACAGGCTTTTCTTTTCCTGCTGACTTTAATGAGCCCCAGGCCTCAAAGCACAAAGGCCCGGTTGCATCACAAAAGGAGGAAAAAAAATCTCCAAACCCAGATCAGAGGCCACTGAAGCAATCAGGGTCAAAGTGTCCAAAGTGATCAGCCAGAAGCTGAAAGTTCAGCGTTTTTACACCCAAAAGCGAGTTTTTATTAGAAAAAATGGACGTCAGAGGCACCAAAGGACGCTTTAACCCTTTGATCTTCAGAGCAAAAGTTTTGATTTGGATCAAATTTAGGAGAACATTTACGTTTTCTTTCAGTTTTGCAGAAAATTTTAATCAAATCTTTTTTTAAAAAATGGAAGGTTGTTTGTTTGTTGTTGTTTGTTTTAACATTTCGTTAGAAAATCTAACAAAAATGTTTTATATTGTCCCATTGGGGCACTTTAGCACATATTTGGCCCCCGATGGCTAACTTTAGCACATGTTGGGCTTCCAATAGCTAACTTTAGCACATATTTGGCCACCGATGGCTAACTTTAGCACACGTTTGGGCTCCCAATGGCTAACTTTAGCACACAGAAGGCCCCCAATGGCTAACTTCAGCACACAGAAGGCTCCCAATGGCTAACTTTAGCACACATTTGGCCCCCGATGGCTAACTTTACCACATTCTTAGGCTCCCAATGGCTAACTTTAGCACACATTAGGCTCCCAATGGCTAACTTTAGCACACGTTTGGCTCCCAATGGCTAACTTTAGCACACGTTTGGCCCCCGATGGCTAACTTTAGCACATATTTGGCTCCCAATGGCTAACTTTAGCACACGTTTGGCCCCACGATGGCTAACTTTAGCACACTTTTAGCTCCCATTGGGGCACTATAGTACACGTTTGGCTCCCAATGAAGGTCTTTAGCACATTTTTAGGCTCCCAATGGCTAACTTTAGCACATATTAGGCTCCCAATGGGTAACTTGAGCACACGTTTGGCCCCAGACGGCTAACTTTAGCACATATTAGGCTCCCAATAGCTAACTTTAGCACACGTTTGGCTCCCAATGGGGCTCTTTACCACATTCTTATGCTCCCAATGGCTAACTTTAGCACATTTTGAGGCTCCCAATGGCTGACTTTAGCACATATTTTACACCCAATGGGGCACTTTAGCACACGTTTTACTCCCGATGGCTAACTTTAGCACATATTAGGCTCCCAATGGCTAACTTGAGCACACATTAGGCTCCCGACGGCTAACTTTAGCACATATTAGGCTCCCAATGGCTAACTTGAGCACACATTAGGCCCCCGATGGCTAACTTTCGCACATATTAGGCTCCCAGTGGGGCACTTCAGCACACATTTAGCACATATTGGCCACCCAATGGGGCACTTTAGCACATTTTTAGCCTCCCTTTGGGGCACTTTAGCACATATTTTACTCCCAATGGCTAACTTTAGCACACGTTTGGCTCCCAATGGCTAACTTTAGCTTTAGGCTTTGTCTTGAATGAGCAATGTCTGCTCAGCTTTTTCGATTGGTCCAGTGTCTCGAAGCTGGTCCAATCATAGAAGGCCTTTCTGGCCTTTTCTGATTGTCCCAAATCGGGTTAACGCCTCCGTCAGAAAGTCAAACGGGGAAATATTCGGCTCCATCTGAAGCATGAAACCGACTCTGACAGATGGAGGTCGTTTCCTGGCGTTGGATTTTCGTAATGGAGGCGTTTAGAGGCTCCAAATATGTGACCTCAGTATTCGCCCTTCGGACGCTTTTTGCTCACGCCGTCGATTTGTTCGCCGTGTTTATTCCCGATCTGGAATCAATGAGCATTTCTGCTCGAATCGATGAGCTTTTTAACGGGTCACCGAGCCAGATCTGCTGCTGTGAGCTGTGTAAAGTACTGGAGTAGAAGTACAAGTACTGTATAGAAAAATGTACTTTAGTAAAAGTAGAAGTGTTCTTTCAACACCATACTTAAGTGGAAGTGCGGAAGTACTCAATTTTTTTGTACTTAAGTATTGTAAGTAGAAGTATTTTAAAAAATTGCTACTCAAGTATTGAAAGTACAAGTATAAGTAAAAGTACAAGTACTGTCTATATTTAAAAAAGGCATTGAAAAAGTGGTATAGATATTGTTTATATTATTTCAAACGGGTGAAAGGCCATACAGGTGTTTACAAAAAACATAAAACTACATATGATATATACATATTGAATACTGTATACTTTATTGAGAATGAGAAAGAGAAATTAATTAAAATTAGCAATCAACATCACTTCATCTACTATTATTTATTATGTCAGAACGGATTGTGAAGGCCTCCAGGCAGACGTCTTTGACTTTGACTCTGCCTAGCAACAAGTGATGGCTGTAATGTGATTGGTTAAATGCTTTTATATGAAAATACATGTCTGGAAGCAGAAAAATCAGGGTAAAAAGCTATGAAACGAAGCGGACAGACCATTTGGAAATATTTAACAAGTATTTGTGGACAAAATATAATTAATATATAATATTTTTAATATGTTTTAATTATATAATTAACATCAGTCTGTGATTCATTAAGCCATTAAGACCAAGAATCTTGGTTTTGTGTTGAGGTTCAACAACAAAAAAAACAACATTTAAAAAAAAATGAAAAAAGAACATGTTTACTGTTGTGTAATAATTACCAAGCTCCATTTTTGTAAATCTCTCATTTAGTCGTGCTGCTCTGTGGGGGGTTGTAATGGCCTGTTCTGTGTCTTTTATCTGTTTATCTGTTTCCTTTAGCTGGTTTTCTACGTGGTGGTCCAGACGCTTTATACTTTGGGCCACAGTCTGTCTCTGGTCGCCCTGACAACAGGCAGCGCCATCCTCTGTCTGTTCCGGTAAGTCTGCCAACACGCACTGCAATATGCTTTTATTTATTTATTTTTAACCCTGTAATGCCAAATGTGTCATATCTGATTCATACGGTTTCTGAAATGTTTTGCGTCTGACTCCTTTTGCATAATTTAATCGTAAAAACTTTGCTCAAAATCCTATTGTACACAATCAGATACAGGGGGCAGAAGACTACACAAAAAATAATCTTGACTTATCGCATAATAATAAATTATGAATATCGAAAATGTATTTCGATAAGGAATTCAAACCAAAAAAAGTAATTTTCTGTTTTGTTTTGTTCTTGGATCAGGCTTTAAAGGGTTAAAAAAGATAAAAACTCTGTTCTGAAAACTAATTTTTCTCTCATTGACCTTTGACCCGGTCTGAGAGAGCTCGTTTGCCTTTTATGTGTCCTCTGTGTTCCTTTTTGTGTTTATGGCCAAAGGCCAAATAAGGAATTCAAACCAAATAAAAGTAATTTTCTGTTTTGTTTTATTCTTGGATCGGGCTTTAAAGGGATAACTCCTGAAAAAGGGGTTTTCATATGAAATGTCTCAGGAAGGGTGGAAGAAAATTGCTGGAATTAGCTGTTAGCCCCGATTCTTTAGTTGGAAGCCTGAGAATAAACCAGAGTGGATCAAGAGTACAAATATGACTTTTATTGGTCACAAGCAGAGTAAACCAGCTGGGCTCTCACAGACAAAAGCTCCCGGAGGATCTCAGTTAGCAAAGATTTTTTTTTTTCAATGAAAGATATTTTTGAACTATCAAAACATTTATTTGAGTAATTAACCAATTTATAGTTGTGTTTTTATTTTTATTTTAATTTTTGTTTTAAATTTATTTTTATTTGATTGTTATTTTTAGTCTATAAGTCTAATATTACTTTATTATTTTTTAAATAATTATGTTTTTATGTTTTTATTTAATGTTATTTTTATTTTCATTTCACATTGATCGTTTTTTTTCATTTTTGTTTTATTTTGTGTTGTATTATTTTTTACTTTAATTTCAAAATGTATTTTAGTTAATTTTAATTAATTGATTGTTTTTATTTATTTATTTATTTTTATCTTTTTTATTTTCATTTTTTTTGTTTCTTTGTTCGTAATAGGTTGGGAGTTGGGGATTGGATGGGAAAACACCTGTTTTATTCTTCCTGGCTTTTTTCTCTTTCTAAATCACTCGTTTTGTTTTATTCTACTGGCAAAGGGCCTTATGAATTAAATGGAGTGAAAAAAGAACAAAGAGCAGACGCAGACTGTGCGTTTCAGTAAAAACGAGGTTCATCTGTGGTGGAAATGCTCATCTTCTACCTTCATTTCTCTGTTTCCTCTGTTTCCTGTTTGGGATTCGCTGTAAAAAAACGGACCAACACTCATTAAGTCCACCAAGAGTGCGGGATTGTATTTTTAATTAGCATTTGTTTTGATTAAAAAAGCTCTAAAAACCTCTAAAAACATGCGAGTTATTGTAATTTCAGGGTTCAGACACTCGGAAGAAGCAGCTAAAAGACGTCAGTGTTGGAAAAAGGCAACTTTGAGGCTCAGAATCGCTCTTTTTTCTCCTCTCTGACAGATCAGTGGCTTTCATTTAAAATCCAATTAAAGAGGCGGCCTGATTGGGTCTGAGTGAGCTCCTGGCTCTGCTTCAGCCTCTGGATTCTTTTGTGTGGACCATTTAAGACCGTGGATGACTCGGTTTGGCCTTAGATTTTAATTAATTCCGTCATTTTTATCAGTTTGAATTATGGTAATCAGGGCCGACTTATAGCTATGACTGTTTTTTTTGTTTTTTTTATATTCTTTGGTCGGGGGTTTTTGCTCTTCATCAGAATAAAAGTGAAGCATTATTTCTCTCAGTGGCCACAAAAGTGTGAAAGCTGCTTTATTTTTGAGCGGGATAATCACACCACAGCTAAAACCCAGAAGGGAGTTCATGACGGAAGTCAAAAGTTTAACCAGAGTCTCTTTTTTTTTTCAAACGGTTGCATCATGGTATCACAAATCCTTTGGAGGACCAAAGGACCCAAGAGGGAGGACTTTGGTCGTCCTTTTGTTTGCCTTTATCTTCTTTTTTCTGCATTTTTCTGTCCAGTTTTGTGTTTTTTTGCAGGTCGTCATGGGGCTAACTCCTCTGTTTTTGGTCCATCTAAAGAAAAAACAGAGACAATTTTCATTATTTTAGTCTGACGTCTTTATTTGGCCCTTGAACAAACTATGACAAAAACAAAAAATATGTGAATATTCCTCATTTATTAGTGCGATACGGCCAAATGATGGTGGCGTGTTTTTCTGCTTGCTGCTACTAGCTCATTCTGACTGTGGAAAACCGGGTTTGGAGCAAAGTTTTTACAATAAAATGATGCATTAGCTCCCAGATGCATAATATTTCAGACACAGTGTGAATCAGTTATGATGCACAGGGAGTTAAAGTGTTAAGAAAGCTCACATCTGACAGTAAAAGGGATTTGTAATATCAATGTAGGAGCAAATATCCTGATGAACAATTAAAAAACAATTAAAAACACCAAGTCGATTATTTTCTCCATTCTCCCTTTTTTTTCCAATTTAAATTATGGTAAAATCCTGTTATCAGGTGTATCTGATTTTGTAGAATATGATTTTGAGCAAAGTTTTTACCATTAACTCATTAGCTGCCAAAGACGTCTATAGACGTCTTTTATGTTTTTCAATGCGAGTGGCTGGGGGACGATCTGCTAAAGTTTTTCCGTAAATATGGGCTTCTAGACAGAGTATGTAGTAACAAATTGACCCTCTAGGGGGCAGTGCCACTTTTGATGGGAGATGAGCATAGACTGTAGGCAAATAAGAAAAAGGGAACGGTTCGCTATGAGAGAACATGTCGCCGGTGAGACGCAAGTCCAGGAAGAACGGAATAAGGTAGAAACAATTTTTTTTTTCCTGATGAAAGAAAAGAGTCTACTCTTTCTTTTGGTGTGTTCGGTGTTTACATAGTCACAGCACAAACTATTCTGTGGCTCTTGAAAAATCAGTCAAAATGCTCAAAAAACTCTGGCAGTATGGGACTCTGTTCTGAAAATGGCTGCCAGTCAATGAGTTAATGATAATTTACCATTATTATTATTCAACGTTTATTGAATATGGGTATTCTCAGAGTCTCAGAGAATATGTCATATGTTCCATTTGTGTGTTTTCAGGAAGCTCCACTGCACGAGGAACTACATCCACCTGAACCTGTTCGTGTCCTTTATCCTGCGCGCCGTCGCCGTGCTGGTGAAGGACGACATCCTGTTCAACCGCAGCTCTCAGTGCTCCAGCCAGCCCTCCCTGGTGAGCCCCAAAACACCCCAAAACACCCAAAACACCCCAAAACACCCCCAAAACACCCCAAAACACCCCAAACCCAACCGCAGCTCTCAGTGCTCCAGCCAGCCCTCCCTGGTGAGCCCCAAAACACCCCAAAACACCC